ATTACAAGAATCACAGCTTGAAAGAATACGAAGAATGCAACAAAATAACCAAGCAGAATGTAAATATTCATTGCATGGTTATCTACTTGTATTCCAGGTAATTTTCTTACATTTATTCCCTATTCGATATAATTTAATCATGTAAAAACGTTAATATTCCTTTTTACTTATATTTCAGTATTGGATATACGAAGCTTTTCCTAAAATTGGACGACATTTTGGTCATCGTATTCGTACAAGTTTAAAATGTCCACGAATGCATAAATGGCAGCCTCAAATGGTATTAGCGGAAAATGTTATTAAAGAATTTTTAGCTACTGAAGAGGTATGTTCATTTCAGTAAACAATTAAATATATCTTTCATTCTTTATAAATAAATTTTAGAGAATACGTCTGATATTTTATTACAATATTACAATTATAGATTACAGTAATTACAACGTTAAATCCTACTGAAGCAGAATTGGAAACATTCTGGTATACAACTCTTTCACTACCAATTGACAACCAACATCGTACACTAGACAGCATTGTCAATGGTGAATTGGAAAATACAACAGAACAAATTCGAGCATATAACATACATCCACAAGAAACAACTGTACGCAGTTCAAATAGAATTGAATCTACTTCTTCCGGTACTTCAGACTATGTAACTAAACAAGATATGGAACAGATGTTCAATGTACACAGACAAGATATCTTTGGTTTCTAGACAGCTTGAAAACACAGATGATTCAAGAAGCAACAAAGCAAGAAGCTCAGTATCATATGATTCTTGAAAATCAACAAACTCTCTGTCAGACACTTCTTGACAATCAAAAACAATTTTTTGAAGTGCAGCAAAAAAATCAACAGGAACATTTTCAGGGCATACAATCAGACATGCATTCTTATGTGGATACCAGTTTCGGTTTAATGAAGTCTTACATTGATGAACAAAATCGAAATATGGAGAATCAGTTAACCAACTGGAAATCACATATGGAATCAATTGTAGCCTCTGTACAACATGATTTGCCCCCTCCAACAAATCAAGCTGAATTTGAAATGCTTTCAACATCTGAACATGTAGAAGACGTCGAAAGATCAACAAAAGAAAAAAAAAGGTAAGCAAAAAGAGACACAATCTCCATCACCAACCGCAACGAATACTTTAAAAGATTATAACATCGACAAATACAAAAACATTAGAGAATGGATATCAGAAAATCCATCAGAGTAAGATATTAAAATTAACTTCGTTAACTTAAATATTCTATTTCGTATTTTACTTATTTAATAACAATTTCATTTTTTCTTATATAGTGCATACTAGAAAGATGAAATCGGCAATCAATACGCAAGACATTCGCTGATGAATATAATAAATCAAATTAAAGATATAAATATTGTGGTAAGTCAACTTTAGCAATTTTAATTAATTTTACTTCGTTATTAATATAGCTAATTTAAATTTTTTTTACTAACATATTGATATAGAATTAAAGCTATTGCGAAGACTCATTTATGATACATCTTCCCCGATTTCCAAAGAATATGCAATCATGGACTTTCGATTCGAGAATGAGTGTGTTCATTGGTACACAACGATCAAACGAGGAGCAACCGCTTCTGTGAATAATTTCCAGGCATTAGAGCAATACACAAAAGGAGAATTACCTACATTTGCTCGACCCTGGATAACATACAACTATTTATTGATTCCAGTCGCATATCCAGGCAACAGTTGGTTTATTTTTCTTGTTGATTTTGAAAAGTGGAAATTTCAAGTATATGATTGCAGCCACAACATTCATACACCAGATGCAATCAAATTACGTACAGCCCCAGTTTTGGATGTAGTACAATCATTATTAATAGCTACTGACATTTTCTTCGGGAAGCCAAATTTACGAAAACATAGAAATAAACGTATGAAATTGGAAATCATACCGCATCTACCTTCTCAAAATAATGGGTAAGTATCTCAACAATTTACTTTAATATTTATTTTTCTATTCAATTTTATTTTACATTTATAGCATTACTATAAAATAACTTCAAACTATTTTTTC